CACCATGCTATCATTTCAGCGCGGCACGCAGACCCGCTGTCTTCCCCCGCAGGAAACAAGCATCAAAGGCGTTTGGAAGGGGGACGGGAAGAATAGTCATCACACAGTCGTTATCAGGGAGTTGTTTTGGTGCGCTCCAGCCTTGGGCCTAGCAGCTGGCGCTGTGGTGTCCAAATGTTGAATATTGTTGATTTCTCCTTTGTGAGCAGCTCGAATTTAGCACTCTAGCATTTGGAAGGGAGGGGGATGAGTGCGTAAAGGGTGTCAATAGCAGTCAGAGACCAGTTGATCAAATCCATAGTTCCCTTTTAGGTTTTAGAGAAGGACAGTGAGAGACTGTTCCAGGGTAAGTAAATGCACACAAGACAAGACAAGGACATAGAGGCTAAGCAGGGAAGATAAGGGTGAGGAGGAAAAGCTGAAACATGCTTTCAGTCTTCTGTTCAAACTGTAAGGTTAAATCATCGAGAATTTTCCTTCAGCTCTGCTTTCCAGGATGAGGCCACATTTCCCACTTTAAGCTTAACTGAACGACTTCCCTACATCCTGTTTGTTCACAGCTCGTTTCAGTGGAGAAACCAAATTATTTATGTTCATGCAGCTCCAAATAAACTGCACTGTATTCTAGGGCTGCCACAAACGAATATTCTGATAGTCGACTAGACACTGATTATTTTTGCGATTAGTCGACTAATCAGATCATGTATCCATTGGATGGAAAACATACAGCCTATTGCACCAGCAGCATCTGCTCAAACTATCATTAGCTTACAGCTTGAAGTGTTTAAGGTATGTGCTAACTAAAAATAAAGACAAGATGATAGTTTAATCAACTCTTAATGAAATTTTCAGATTGTAGCAACAAAACGAAAGGCCCCAAAAATTGGTGCCAAGGTGTGCAAGTTGTTGGCTTGGTGACAAAGTCGTCCATCAAAGGCGAACGTATTGTTTAGCAGTGCAGTAACATAACATTTACACCTATCAGTATGAGTAGCTCACTGCTGTTAGCAGCTAACTGGCCAATTCGCTTACTGAGACGATGGTACCACTTTGTCGTCAGAAGCCACGACGTGCCTCCTCCCAGCACTGCCATGGAAGGCAAGTTCCACTCTGCAGATTTTGCGTTGGACGTTCTTCTTTTATGCTCCCAGACTTCACTGCTGCTGGCATCCTTGTACATGCAGTGCTGCCATCTTCTGTTTCAGTCCATTATTACACTCTTAAATCCTGCTACTTATTCCTGCAGGTTTCAGGATCATACAAAGCTTCAAACGACGCGTTGACTATTAAATTAGTCATTGACGATTTTGATAGTGGACTAATTGTGCCCAACTGTAATCTAATTTCTACTTTCTCTGACATTAGACAATAATTTAACTTTATTTCTTCTTTTTTTTTTTTTAAGTCTTCTTAATATTTGTTAATTTGGGTTATCTGATCAGATGCTCGCCATAATGGTGAGAACAAACTCGGATACTAAAGTGAATGTATTAAATACATATCTCAGTTTTACATGTACAAGTTTGAATTAAAACTGTCACTTTAATCTGATCTTTTAATATCAGAGTAAATTTGATAGAAACAGAAGCGATCCCTGATGCTTTCAGTAAAGCTGTTATTTATGTAACTACAGTTCTGTGAATTGTTAGTAACTACATAAGATCCATCAGTTCTGGTCTTCAGGGGTTTCCATCCTGATGTTTCCTGTTCCATCCCCCACTAATTATTTACTCACAAAAGTGAAATCACTGACACACACCCAGCGGTGACTGCGTGATGCATTTTGGCAGACCTGTCCTGTTTTGCCCTCAGGTGAACGGTTTACCTGCACTCAAAGACTATCATTAGCGAATCATTACTGTCTGTGAAGGTCCTCGGTCATCCAGGTCATCATAGTCTAAGGAGCTTGGAAAGAAAAGCGTTAGGCATTACTTGGAGCTGGGCGATATGAGATTTTTTTCATATCACGATATGTTTTTTCATTTCAGGCGATAACGATATCACGATATAAGCCAAATAACTATATTTGTAAGATTTAAATGTGCCGTTGCTCACAAGTAAAATGTGAAATAATCAGCAGCTTGTTTTTATTTAAATATTTATTTCCCATAATAAGTTCAACAGGGTAGATGTACTTAAGGAACATGAGACTTTTTCAGATAAATAAAGGCAAATATTGCAAACTACACAAAAGGCAGCCGCTAAAGCGTTTAAGTTTCAAAATAGAACAAACGAAACAGACTAAACTGTCAATTCCACTTAGAAACAAAATATTAATTCTAAAAATAAATCTTAGTTTGTTTTACAGAAGAACAGACAAAACTGACTAACTTTTGTCAATATCAAATAAACTGAGAACTAAAAGGAAATTCTCAATCTCTCCTTGTTGTATAGCTTAGCTTTTCAAACAGTTTTAACAGTTACTTTAGTCTGACAAAAGCCGAATGACGAATTAGCGCTTCCAGTCAGAGACTGAGCTGCACCGCTTTATTGTATTTCCAGACTTGCTTTCGGCACATTTACAGTGCAGCTTCTGTTTTTGTCAGACTTGAAATAACTGAAATACCTTCACACTACGGAGCTTCTGTGGCTCTTCCGTTCAACAATCTCTCCGGCGTTGGAACCATCGTCTGTCTTCTCCTCGGTAACCTTCGGTCGCGCTCTCGGCGCACTCATTTCCTCCGTTACCCGGCGGCACGGCGGCTGGCTGCTTCCCAAACAAATACACATGTGCGGCTTGGCACTTGTGCTGTACGTAACAAGTCACGTGACGTGACGCTGCGGCTGTGATTGGTTCGGCTCTGCGCTACTTAATTTGGATTGGCTGTTCTTCTTTTTTTTTTTTTTTTTTTTTTTAAGAGGACGAGCGGTGAGGTCGATCACAATAGTTTAATCTTTCTATCGAGAAAAAGTTATTTCACAATACATATCGTTATCGTTCTATCGCCCAGCTCTAGCATTACTTACTAATGACGTTTGCTTTGCTTTCGTTCAGGTTCATTCAAGATGGCAAAGACGCTGCCCGACAGGGAGACCTGCACAGAGCGCTGGAGTTCTTCAGACTGGCTTACAACATTCACCACAGTCACAAACTGGAAAGCCGGATCAAAAAAATCGAAGAGCTCATCGCTGAGAATGACTTGGAGGAAGATGATGACGAGTTTGTTAATGTTAACAGCAGCGGTTTAATGCTTTTTAAAGAGCTGTATGACAAGCTGTACGACTACCAGAGGGATGGAGTGGCCTTCTTGTACAGTCTCTACAGAGATGGCCGGAAAGGCGGGATTTTAGCTGATGACATGGGACTGGGCAAAACCATCCAGGTGATATCATTCCTCTCTGGCATGTACGACAATGAGCTGGCTAAACACACACTCCTGATCATGCCGACTTCCCTCATCACAAACTGGACCAAGGAGTTCTCCAAATGGACTCCGGGCATGAGGGTGAAGGAGTTTCATGGCATCAGCAAAGGAGAGAGGACCAGGAATCTGGAGAAAGTTCAGAGGAGGTGCGGCGTCATCATCACCACCTACACGATGCTCTTAAACAACTGGCAGCAGCTGTCCACCTACAATGGCAAAGAGTTCACATGGGACTATATGATCCTGGACGAGGCTCACAAGATAAAAAGCACAACCACCAAAACCGCCAAAAGTGCCTACGCCATACCGTCCAAGAACCGAGTTCTACTCACAGGAACTCCGGTCCAGAACAACCTGAGAGAAATGTGGGCTCTCTTCGACTTTGCCTGTCAGGGCACCCTCCTCGGCATGGCGAAAACATTCAAAGCGGAGTACGAGAACCCCATCACCCGGGCCCGGGAGAAGGACGCCACTCCAGGAGAAAAGGCGCTGGGATCCCGGATGTCAGAGAACCTGATGGCAATAATAAAACCGTATTTCCTGCGCAGGACAAAGTCCGAAGTACAGAAAAACAAAACAAACAGCACACGTAACAAGGAACACTTGGAGGAAATGGAAGACCATGTTCCAAACCTTGAAGCAGACTCTGGAGCGGTGATGCCCAAATTGACGAGAAAAAACGACCTGATTGTCTGGACTTACCTGAGTGCCGTTCAGGAGGACATCTACAGGCAGTTCATATCGCTGGACCACATCAGAGAGCTCCTGCTGACCACCCGATCGCCTCTAGCTGAGTTAAACATTCTGAAAAAGCTGTGCGACCACCCGAGGCTCCTCTCTGCTGCCGCCATAGCCAAGTTAGGCTTGGAGGAGAGTGCAGCTGACTGCCAGGAGACCACAGAGGCCAACGATCACAGCATCACCAGCGTTCCTGATCACACCTTGATCTCAGAGTCTGGGAAGATGGTCTTTCTTTTCTCTCTCCTAGATCGGCTCAGGCAGGAAGGCCACCGCACCCTCGTCTTTGCCCATTACAGGAAGGTGCTCGACATCATCGAGCGCATCCTGGGCAACAGAGGCTTCAAAGTGCTGCGGCTAGATGGAACCATCACTCAGATCGCAGAGCGAGAGAGGCTCATCTCTCTGTTCCAGACTGACAAACGGTACTCAGTCTTCCTCCTCACCACCCAGGTCGGTGGAGTCGGCATCACCTTAACAGCAGCCGACAGGGTGGTCATCTACGACCCCAGCTGGAACCCTGCGACAGACGCCCAGGCCGTTGACAGGGCGTACCGCATAGGCCAGACTGAAAACGTCGTCGTCTACAGGCTGATCACCTGCGGCACTGTGGAGGAGAAGATTTACCGCCGGCAGGTTTTCAAAGACTCTCTTATTAGGCAGAATACCGGGGACAAGAAGAACCCGTTTCGGTACTTCAGCAAACAGGAGTTGAAGGAGCTCTTCACCTTGGAGGACACGCGGTCCTCCTCTACACAGCTCCAGCTTCAGGCGCTGCACGCCAGGCACCGGCGCACTGACCCTGAGCTCGACAAACATATCACACACCTCCACACCATGGAGATGTTTGGGATTTCTGACCATGACCTCATGTTTACACTTGACATCAACCACGACGAGGCCCTCGAGAACCAAGAGGAGCATCATTACATCGAAGGGCGGGTCCAGAAGGCTCAGGAGCTCATGAAGGCGGAGTCTGAGCTGCAGATGCAGCTGGCAGAGAGCATGGTGTCCAGCACGGAGCCGGCATGGCTCCGATACCCAGCAGACAACAACAGCCGGGAGCGGTCCCATGAGAAGAAACCACATCCTTCATATCCGAAGCAGGACACGAGCCTGGCCTGGTCTCCAGCTGTGGTGGATTTGGAACAGACTGCTTCTGGGAAGGAGGCCACTCTGGAGAATCTCAGCAAGGGAGTGATTGATCTGACTGCAGAGGAGAGCACAGCAGAGGTCAGCCACCATAGCCTCGCTGAGCAGAACCTGGATTCTCCGAAACACCCGTCAGTGAAGCTGGAAAGGAACTTGTTGGAGGCGGCAGATCCGATCGAGGTATCTGTGGTGCTGATGGAGGCTGGTGACGTAGCTGACACCTCAGTCAGAGAAGGACTCAATGAATCTGCGGCCGCGAGTCTGTATGTTACAGCAGCCGATGAAGATGAGCAGAAGATGATGGGACATTTGACCCTGAAGTACGATGACTCCGAGATGGAGCTGGGGTCTCCTCACGTCACTCCTCCAGAGAACAGAAGACTTTCCGCGCTGCGCGTCTCCAGTTTGAGCCTCGGAGCCGACACATCATCCAGAATCTGCAGCGAGCTCGAGTCTTTGAATGGCAACTTCAACCTACAGCTGGAGGACAGTGGCGCCGATCACGGTGAGGCGGTGGTGCAGGAGGAGGAGGAGCTGCAGGAGGAGGAGGAGCTGCTGTCTCAGCTGCAGCTGGAGGGAAGTTTCGACGTGGGTAAATCTCTTTGTGAGTGGCAGCAGAAAGAAGCATCAAGTTACAGCGCGAGCAACGGCCGCTCCGTCAGCCTCAATGAGTCACATGACTCAGTCGTGGGTATCAGGAAGAAAAAGGCTGCTGTGATTTATGACAGTGAAGAGGAGACGCAGGAGGAGGATGATGGGCAGCTTGAGAACTCCTTCCAGGTTTCCGGAGCATCGACGCCAAAGTCAGCGTGCACTGGCACCACGCCGCTCCGTACTCGAAAGAGCATTGGTGGAAACACGTCCGTGGCTTCTCACCGCTCCTTCCTCCATTCCATCATTGAGGACATGGACAACCAGGACAGCCATGAAGATGATTTTGATGCTTCGGATGTCCATTCAGATGAGGCCGAAGAGGACATGATTGGTTTGGCTCATGATGAGGTTGAGGAGGAGGAACCCAGTGGAGAGACTGTAAACTCAGAGGAGGAGTTTGTAGAAGAGGAGATGGAGGAGGAATTTGAGGAGGAAGGAGACTTTGAGTCAGGAGACACTGAGGAATATGGAGAAGGGAGCCTCCTGGAGGAAACGTCCACCGAGCCTGAGTTGGTATCAAACGAGGCGATGGATCAGTGCACCGCCGAGACAGGTGTAAAGGAGGTCGAGGACGAGAGCTATGACTCGCTGGTGCAGCGAGGGCGGGAGTGCTACAGCAAAGCTGAGCTGGACGAGGCCCTGGACTTCTTCCTCAGAGCCATCGACATCAAACCCGGAGATCCGGAGATCCAGCTCATGACCATCCAGCTGTACCGGCAGCTGAGTCAGGTGGCGAGGAGATCCTAACAGAAAAGGACGATCGGGGCGGTGAGGTCAAGCTCTGCCGGCCCGCCGCTTCACGCCAAAGCTGTAAATCTTTCAAACATGTCTGCCGTGTTCGTCTTCTCCGTGAGATCGCGCTGAGTGACTAATGTTTCAACAGCTCAGCTGATTGCAGAAAGCTTCCTGTTTGAACTTCTTCTTTCAGTAATGTAACTAGAATCAGGTGTGTGTCATCATCCACCACGAAATGGTCAGTTTTCATCTTTGATCTGATTTTCATCTGTAACCTGTACTTATTGTAAAATACTTTGAAATTTGTCAAATTAAAATTCATATTTCTGTCTAATTTGAATTCATGACTGTTATTTTTAAGGTAATGAACGGCTTCATCTCTGAAAACAGAAATCTCCTGCAGAGCGTTTGGCCTACTCAAAAGTTTTCCCCGCCCTAAACCCACCAAAATAAACTTCCTGTTTTATCCAGTTGGGCCTCAGATCAGCTGAGCAGGAGCCTCATGCAGGTTTAGGATTCACAACAGGAAGCTACATCCATCTTTTATATACAGATCATAACTAAATCGTCCGATGGCCCATAAAAGACTTCACACAGCTGTGAGCCAGCTGTGCAGAGACCAGAACATAAACTCAGCAGGAAGTGCTGAGGATACATCGGTGGGTCAGACCTGAGTTTAGGTCCCTCTGAAGCGTCTGACTCAGCTCTTAATCCTGGTTACATTCCCCTTTAGAACCGAACGTGTTGGGATTTGTCATCTCCTGAAACGCTTCACAGTCAGTGCTGCAAACCTACGTTTACAAAGCAGAACTGACGAGACGCACACAGCGGCGAGAACGCGTTCCCACACTTCCTGTCCAATGAGGTCGCGAAGGTCAGAGTATTTGAGCAGAAACAAATCCAGAAAACATGAAACATCAGTGTGAGGTCATAACAGCTCATTTCCATGTTTCTGTGATCACTGGTGTGCAAATATTCAACATTCTTCTTCTTCAAGTTCACTGTTAGAGCAAGAAGCTGAAGAATAATGAAGCTCATCATAAGATGTAAGATTCCAGTTATTTAATGTTTGACGTCAGTTTTATGGGTTCAATGTTCTGATTTCTCACTGCTTTCAGATTTTGGGGTAAAAACATGAACTTGGTTTATTTTCTGGATAAATACAAATAAAATTTGAAACGTGTGTTTGACAGGTTTCTAAAATACTGTGATGCGTGATGTCATAAATGTAGAGGGGGCAGGGTCACGGCACGAGTACACAAGTACTATGATAAAGTATAAATACTGTCAGTAAAGTACAAGGTTATTCCCAGCACGGGTCTGAGCAGGTTTGCACCCTGATTGGTTGAAAACAACTTCCACCTGCAGTCATGTGACACTTTTAAGTGGAGGTCACGTGATTCATTAAGTGTAAGCTGCTGCAGGAGATTCTGCCTCCATGCCTCTCCCAACACCACCTTCATCATCATCACCTTCCCTCTTCTGCACATGTGGACTCCAGCTTGCTGTCCTCCTGTCACCTCCACACTGCCTGGACTCTGTGCCGGTGTTGTGCCAAAAACTGATTTCCAGTGTGAGTAATATCTTTACATGAACAGGGTTTATAACAGGGTTATAGGCAAAACCTTAAAATTACCCCTTTTCATAAAGTATCTTAATAACTCTGTGCTATTGTACTTTCATTATGACCAATCCCGTCTTTTCCCCACTTTAAGTGTTTACAGAACTGTTTTATTTGTTGCAATTTCTGACTTTTTTTTTTTAACTGGATAAATAAAGGAGATATAAAAGTCACTGCCAAAAATGTAAAGTTGACATGTTTGACGTATTATAGACCAACAAGTCATTTATAGCTTATGGCAGCAATCAGTTTTTGGCACAACACTGTATTCAAAGTCAGCGCCTCATTGGTCAGTTTGCTCCCTGAAGCGTCAGCAGTAGCGGTTTTTGACACGGGCGGTTGCCCGGGGCGGCATCACGGGCATCTGCAAAAAATAAATAAATTAAAAAAAACTGCTCGTACTCATGCTGCCCCGACATCAGCCAGCGCATATTGGGAATGTCGTAGGCACCGATCGGTTTTCTATCGCCCATTTGCTGGGAGTAAGGGCGCCCTCTGTTTGCGAGGTGCGCCTGCTGCTTGCGGCACAGGGAGGAGAGGGCGGGGCGGCGTCTAATAACCAACTCGCAAAATAAAAACAAAGCAACAAACACAAAAACACCAGACATCATGATACAGATTTAGCAGCGATGTTTTTTCAAAATTTTATACATGAAAAGTGAGCTCGAGAGCCCTCAGTGCGCCTGCGCGGTGCTGAAGTCAAAGTAAACTTTATTGTCATCTCCGCTACAGACAGTCCAGCATATAGAGACGAGACGACGAGGCTGCAGTTACAGCAGTGCCAGTAACGCCAGGGGGAGTGTTCGCCCAGGGCGCCAAACAGGCTAGGACCGCCACTGAGCGTCAGGCTGACTGAAGCTGCGTTCTGATAAATCACGTGACTATGCTGTTTGTCTGTGATCAACACCTGGGCTCAGGTGAGTTTCAGAGAAGCGGTTTTAGTTTAATAAGAATATGACGTTTTTATTCCTGTCACGTGACACACGTCTGCTTTTGAAGTTTAAAGCTTTTACACAAACTGAATACGTCACTGTGCTCGCCGTAAGAATCTGCGCGTGCGCACTTTGACGGCATATTAGTTTTGTCACGTGAACTGAAAGCGTCCATTGACCTCTGCGTGAGCTGCTTTGACTTCAAAATAAAAGCCTGGGCTTGTGCAGAGAGAAAAGTATTGTGCTGAACGTTATTTTAATTTACTTACATAGGTCAGATAGCGAAGTGTCACCTTTATTCAAAGTACTCCGTGGAGTGAAGCAGCTCCTGTGATCATGAATTTGTATTTGCTGTGAGTAAAACAGCATTAATTATGGGTTTATATAGAAAAAAATTATAGTATTTTCTTGATTAGCTGATTAGCTTATTTTGTTCAAAAGCCTGGCATGAAAATATTACTTTATTTAATCACCAATAAAGACTTTAGAATCTGCATCAGATCCTGGAGTTCACATGAGAGTAACAGACAGAAAACAGTCATCCAAACACTATATAGTACTAATGAGACCATCTTCAATGCGTTTTTGTTTTTTAGGTAATGACATCGATGTGAATGGAGTGATTTCAGCTCCACTGCTCAGAGTTTTGACTCAACACCTGTCAGGTGATCCTGGCAGGATCACAGGAAGCTGAAAAGGTCCTTAAAGGGATCATCCTATAGTGTTTCATCAAACGTCCTATTACTGCAGTCTGTCCTTCCTGTTCACGCTCAGCTCAGAGTGTGTGGTACAGGTTGTAATTTTCATTGATGTGGATCAAACGTCATACCTCTGCCTACAGGAATGAATCATCAAATCAAGTAAAAATGCAAACAGAGACTGTGCCCTGTTGACTGTATTCATTATCATCTACATCTATCAAGTCTACTGATGTGACCTTTGACCTTACAGGAACTGACTTTTGTCCACTTCTGGTAATTTGTGTGAGGTCCACATCCAGTAATCAAATCAATGTTTTAAAATAATTTTCAAAATCTTTTTATATTCATTGATATTCGTGTTTACTGGAACATTATTAAGACGGACTTGATTTAAATTTTATGATTTTAGTTTTGCTCCTCTTGAGATGATTGGTCTTGATGCTATTATTTTGAAGAACCGCACAGGAAGCTGCGGCTGTTTCCGCCAGCTTGCTTCAGCTTCAGTCGAGTTTCCAAGGAGAGAAATATCAGACGCGCTTCAGCTCGGACGGGACTTCTCAGAGCAAACACCCACACACACTCGGGGCTGACCTTTGACCTCTGGGACATTTTGGGGTCCGGGCGGGAAGCTCGCGGACGGTGTAGACCCGGGACAGACTACCATGGCCCGGCCGAGGAAGAAAAGCTGCTCTGGGTGCTGAACATGAAGCTCCGCGGGGGGAGACAGAGAGAGCGCAGACTGCAGTAACACACGGAGGGAGAGGAGGCACTTTAATTCAGGAGAGAAGAAGAGGAGGATGAAGATGGGAGGGATAGTGGAGCTGCTGGGCATCAGCTGGCTCCTCTTCCTCCTGCTGTTCATCGGAAACGGTCACTGCAGAGGTGAGAGGGGTGAGGAAGAGCACGCTGAGTGGGAGGTTTATCGGGCCCTGTGAGGGACACTGACCCGGGGCATCACGGGAGGTGTAGTCCACCCTCAGCTGCTCTGACGGTCACTGCGAACAAATATCTGAAATGTTTCTATAAATGTGTCCAAGTTTAATCTTCATCGGAGTGAGAGGACGGTTACACCGACTCTGGCTCCTGCCTCCCTCTGTGAGCGCACAGGTGAGCGCACAGGTAGGAGTTTACGCAGCACGCTGAGGTTCCATCTGATCTAGTTAGCTCTAAGGTTTCATGTTAAATGTGGCCAGAGTTTCACAAAGTGACGGGCGCGTGTGCAAAAGTAAGGTAAAGCACTGGGTCGGGCCCCTCTGCAGCTTCCTAAAGTCAGCCAATCAGACGAAAGAGAATGGGGGCGGGGCTTAGACGGGAAATAAGGATGACCGAGGCCCGAGCCTCTCCTCTGATGCAGCGCTCCTCTGTAATCCTCCAGCTGTTCATCAGCTGTCCTCCAGCTATTTAAAGCCAGTTAGTGTAACTGTTGCTCAGGTGTCCAAGTACCCGAGAGCTTCAGAGTGGTGAAGCTGAGGCTCAGGACTTTTGCACAGAGCGATCCAAACCAGCAGCAGATCATATAGGCTACGTTCACTCTGCAGGTCTTAATGCTCAAATCCGATTGTTTTGTCTGCTCGTTCACACTACAAATAAAATGCGACAGCAAACGCTCAAAGCGGCCGCATGCGCAAAAGAAGACGTCACACACAGCGCGCTCTGTTTGGACCCAGAACAAACAGTCTTTACGTTTCCCAATTTTGCTTTAAGTTATAAAGTTATTTTGTTATTTACATAACAAAATAACTTCTGTCAGAATCTGCAGATTATACAGAACAAATAAAATGTTCACGTTTCTCCAACACTGTCTTCCCAGCAGTTGTACTGGACGGACAGGAAGCGTTCGCGATGTCTTCTCCGGCGCTGATAATCGGCGTCTGTCTTGTGTCAGGGACGTAAAAGACGGATTTAATGCGACGTGACCGTCAAACAGCAGCCGCTTTCTAAAACATCAGATATGTGTCGGATTCAGGACCACATACGGAAGTGACCCAGGTCGGATTTGTGCCGTTCACACTGTCACACCGTGATCGGATATGAGTCGCAGAGGGTTGAAAAAGTCGGATTTCATGCGCTTTCACCTGCAGCGTGAACGTAGCCTTAGTGACCTGGACCTGCTGATGGATCCTCTCAGAGCTTCTCTGAGCTGAACTTAGGTCTGAGGGGGAAAGTGGAGCGTGAGCACTCAGGCCGGAGCAGATTTTACTCCTGCTCCGGCCTGGGAAAGGAAGCTGGGATCTCCCAGGAGGAAGTGGTGCTTACTTTACTGAGCGGTGGGTTTCAGTTTTCAGGCGTGCTTCCGTCAGAGCTGCCTTTTCTTTCTGGAAACTTTATTGAAACAGTTGTGAGAACAGCCACACTGAGCTATCAGGTGACCAAACCGCGTGGTTCCTTCCTGTTCAGCGCCTGGTTCTGGTTCCAGCTGAGCGGAGCTGAATAACTAGCGTGCTGAGACCAGTGCAGCGTTTCCATCCTCAGCCTGAAAGTGCAGTTTTTCTTCATCATAGTCATATCTACCAATCTGCAGGCGGATCGTTTCCATTTGTTCCCGTATTTGTGAGTCTTTCTTAGACCATCGTTAATGTTCACACACGCTAACTTCTTGAAACCCCTGGGAGCTGACAGATCTAGGAAACAGGAAGACGGGAAACTCTTCTTTGCTCGGTTTGAGGTTTCTGCACATGAATCTGATATTAATCAGTTGTGATTTCCTGTTCTGCGATGTGGTTTTAGAGCAGTGAGTTAGGCGGTCATGCCACAGTGCAGAGGTTTGTGTGAGAGCAGAAACCCTCTTTAACTATCAAAGGAAAGCTTTAACAGCTCCTGTTTGGATGTCTGATGTCACTATGACAGTGTTATGCATAGAGTACATTTGATAACATTAATATTGAATATGCTAAACGCTGAGGACACAAACATAAAAACCTGTGTGGGCTTACGCTGAAAGCTGCAAATAAAACTTGACAGAGAGGAAACGGTGTGCAGCTGAGAGCCGTGATGAGGTCAGAGAGGCGAACCAACAGGATTCTAACGGTGATTCTGTCTTAAACTGGGAGCCAATGGCGTTCAGTCCCAGGGCCACGTGGTCACATGTCTGTGGTCACGTCCTGCAAACGAAACGTTACAATACTCTAACTGAAAGCATGGACCAGTGTCTCTGAGTCAGTTTGGAGTAGAAACTGTGAACACAGGCTACACACAGGAAGTGACACGTACAGCTGTGTATCGCCTGCATAGAACAGTAACCCCAAGACTGAAGCGCTCACTTAGTTCATCATGTCGATGTCTGGACACACCTGTGCCGTCTTACCTGAGCTCAAGGCACTGCTGAGCACTCCCTGTGTGCGTGTGCGTGTATGTACGTGCGTGTGTGTTTTACAGTAAAACACGTTGACGTTTTTTGCTTTTTGAAAAAAATCATCCATCCATCTTCATCCGCTTTGTCCGGGGCCGGGTCGCGGGGGCAGCAGCCTAAGCAAAGAGGCCAGACCTCCCTCTCCCCAGCCACCTCCTCCAGCTTATCCGGGGGAATACCAAGGCGTTCCCAGGCCAGCCGAGAGATATAATCTCTCCAGCGTGTCCTGGGTCTGCCCCGGGGCCTCCTCCCGGTGGGACATGCCTGGAACACCTCACCCAGGAGGCATCCTTGTCAGATGCCCGAACCACCTCAGCTGGCTCCTTTCGATGTGGAGCAGCAGCTGCTCTACTCTGAGCCCCTCCCGGATGGCCGAACTTCTCACCCTATCTCTAAGGGAGAGGCCAGCCACCCTTCGGAGGAAGCTCATTTCTGCCGCTTGTATCCGCGATCTCGTTCTTTCGGTCACTACCCACAGCTCGTGGCCATAGGTGAGGGTAGGGACGTAGATCGACCGGTAAATTGAGAGCTTCGCTTTTACACTCAGCTCCTCTTCACCAGTCTCCCTTGGAATGCTGTTGAAGCTCTGCCGGAGGTGTGCGTTGAAGATCTTGCAGCGACTGGGGCCTCTGCTAGACGTTCCCAGCACACCCTCACTACGCGTTTAGGTGCACCAGGTCTGTCCAGCGTCCTCCCCCGCCACCTGATCCAACTCACCACCAGGTGGTGATCAGTTGACAGCTCAGCCCCTCTCTTTACCCGAGTGTCCAGAACATATGGTCGCAGGTCTGCTGATACGATTACAAAATCGACCTGCGTCCTGGTGCCACGTAGGGCTGCTCAATTAATCGAATTTTAATCACGATTACGATCTGGGCTTTCAACGATCATTAAAAATGACTGAGCCGATTATTAGCACCCTCCCTCGTGCTTTACTCTCGCGCTGCTCCGTGTGGCAAATCGAGCGCACCTCTCTGCATTTCGAACACGTGTCACAACAATTAAGAGGACCCGAGGGAAGCTCGGAAAGCTAAGCAGAAGTTATTTGGAGAGGAGAGTGACTGCTGTTGGTTGAAAAGAGAGGTAAAAAAAACGTCAGTGGTGTGGAAACATTATGGGTTCGCGGAGTCAGACGTGGATCAATTAGACATAGTGTGTAAACTTTGCTACAGTGTTGTAGCTGCACCACAGAGCAACACTGCAAAGTTCACTAAACATAGATGTTTACATTTTTCATTTATTTTTTATATTGCAAACATTTGCACTGTTATCAGTATTTGCACACTATTTTATATTATTTTTTGACAATCTTTAAAGTCATTATTCAATACATTGTTATTGTTAAATAAATATCGTCAAATAATCGAGATTATCATTTTTGCCATAATCGAGCAGCCCTAGTGCCACGTGCACTTATGGACACTCTTATGTTCGAACAAGGTGTTCGGCCAAACTGTGATTAGCACAGAAGTCCAATAACAGAACACCGCTCAGGTTCAGATCAGGGAGGCCGTCCCTCCCAATCACGACCCTCCAGGTCTCGCTGTCATTAACCACGTGAGCATTGAAGTCTCCCAGCAGGACAACAGAGTCTCCACTTCCATGTCTCCTCTTTGGGCCCGGACACCAGACGCTCGCCCTCGGGCACCCTCCCCGGGCCTGGCTCCAGGCCGGGGCCCCGGTAACCCTATCCCGGGCAGGGTAAACTGTTCCCTCGATGTTGTCTTCATAAGGGTCTTCTGAAGCGCTCTTTGTCTGGTCCCTCACCCAGGACCAATTTCCCTGGGACACACACACAACTCCACCACAATAAGGTAGCGATTCACGGAGAGGGGAAAGAAAAATCAGATGAAAAATGAAACCAGTCCTTTCTGTGAGAAGTTTCCACTGAGTCGTCCAGTCTGAATGAATGAATCACACACACACACACACTCACAGTTTCCCTGAATCATGACTCATGGTGTTTTTCTTGGACCTACAGACCGTAATCACAATGAAAGGAGCTTCAGGGTCTGATAATGTGAACCTGCAGTTTTCTCAGCGCCCAGCAGAGGGCGAGTCATTTGGCAGTACATCAGAGAGGGTGCGGCCATCTTTTAAATACAGTCTGATCAGGGTGGCGAGGCTCCTCGTGTGCGTGTGCGTGCGTGCGTG